AGCTGAGGGGAGATTATACTTTCCTCCTGGTACTTTTACACCAGAGCACCAGAGCCATCCAACCCCACCTGCCTTTAATGATCTTGGCTGAGGTGCCTTAAATAAAGGAACAACTAAGATCACAGGGAAGGACAATGGCTCAAATCATCTGGTTTCTTGGTTAGAAGATGGGGATTATGAATAAGAGAAAAACAGCATGCAAAATAGGCAAACTAAGTATATAAGCCTACTGGATTTATAGAAGAGATATTGGCACACACCAGGAAAATTTCAAGCCAAATGTATGACAGCATTCCTTACACCCCTCCCACCCATTGCCATATCCCAGCTTAATGTAAAGCCTTTTGGCTTCCAAAGGCTTATAGCTATGTTTTATTGTTTAAACAGGTCAACAATTGCAATCATATGTTGACTCCAGGCAATACACAAACACGATGATGTGTTAATATACAGCAACACTTGGATGGAGTTCCTACAATTTTGCTGCTGTTAACAGTCATATGTATGATCACAGCTGAGCTGGTATCTCCTAAGGCTACCTCTGAAAACTAGGAAGCCTATCAGTGTTGTTCCATTACCAAGAAGCCAGCGTGAGATCAGTAAACGAGCTCTATTTTTAATATAAGTATAAACTCCATTTCTGGAAATCATTTTGGGAGGAGAACTCTCTCACACCAACTGTACTTCGGCTTGTTTTTAAGGCTGCTTTAGAAAGGTGCTGCTCCCATTCCAGAAGCATCCTTTTAACAAGAATTGAGCTGGAATGGGATATGGATGATGGCATCTTTGTAAGACAGGATGGGAGAGGATCCTACTGGCATATCTGTGTGCAGCTGTCTGCAAAAAAAATCTTCACCATGCTGAGGGGGGAATTAAATAGTACAAAAATTCTGGCTAGTGCCTACAACAAAGACATCCAAACCACTTGGCACTGAAGTAATTCTGTTTATTTCACACCAGGGAAGTGTGCAGCTAGGTTATGTAGATACCTTTCCAATGGATGGGATAATTTTGCTCCAGTATAAATTTCCACATGCTCAGTAGCCTACATTATCAGGTTGCGCCTGTGGAGCAGCTACCATTAAACATACAGCAAGCCGCCACTTCATCGCAGCTCCAGCACACATTGAAAGCAACTTTCCTCAAAAGTACTGGCAAAATGTCCCCCCCCCCATGCATAAGCTTTAGCTTCCCCGCAGCCTGCTCAGGCATACACAGCGATACCCTGAACGGAGCCTGGCTCACTTTTTCCAGACAGGCATTTTCTACTGTTGTGTCACTGACCACAGACCTTGCAAGGCATTAATCAGGTATTAACATTCCCTGTGCTTTAGTTTGCAACTTGATTTGTTAGCGCACTGGGAACTCTGAGATGCCAGAATTTGGGTGACAAATGACCTTTTACACCTACCACAGCTATCAAACAGTTGGCCTAGACTTAACCAAATCCCAGTCTCAGTCCAGTATTAGACAGATGCATAATGTACTACTTACAGCTTCACTCCTTTCTCTTAATTTTCATGCTAGCTGGTTTGCTTTGTACTTTTTTCAAGTTCAGAAACCTTATTAAAGTTGTTATGGAAAAAATAAATTTATTATTCAACATAGTCAATTTTTTCAAAATGGAATGATTCTCTTTTCCTTTTTTTTTTTTTTTGGTTTGGTTTTCATTTACAACTGTTTCCATTCAGTTTGACTGTTTTTATCTTTTCTATTTATAACCAGCACAAAAAAGAAAATTACCATGGATACAGTACATATGCAAATTAGCTAATGGAAAAATATATACATTTCACTCTGTAATGAAAAACTTAAATGATATTGCCATGGAGAATATATCCCTGTATTATAATAAAATATCAAGCAATAATCAACTGCTAAGATTCTTTTCCACCAACAAAAAATAGCACCATACATGAGATAGATAGTGAGAATCTACACTCAATAACACAATTGTGCAACTAGAAATGTACAGTACTTTAGTAACAGTACAGAGTATTGTTTACAATATGGAAATACCACCACTGTAATCAAAAGAGCGTCAATCTCTTACGAACAACTAAAAAAAGTATTGTCATAGATACACTGAAACAAACAGCTTTCTTTTCACCAGTATGTAGTAACTGAGGGCAGAGCATAGCTGTAAATTCATAGTAAAGCTCCTATAAAATGATACAAAACAGAAATGCAGGAGTATTGAACAGAATTAAACTTTTTTATTATTCTTATTTTTGTGGCTATTATAAAATGAGAAGGTTGTCACCATATGATGTAAGAGAATGTAATAAAATGGAGCTGTCTTGTGGCATCAGTTTTTAATTAATGTTGGTTTCTGATTATAAAAAAAGGTTGATGCATGCTAATCTGTGGGCTGTGAAAGCAAGTGAAGTTTTTTTTTCAGTGCTCAGACATTTCCAAGAATTCCTTGTAAATCCATGTTTCCTTAGGTAGGACCCAGAACTTGGACCCAAATGTCCTTTGAAGTCCAGAACCTAGCATACTGGGACAGGCCACAAGTCTAACTAGCCTGGTATCCTGTTCCGGACAGTGGCCAGTAGTGAATTATTAGCGAAAAACATAAGAATTAAAATCCTTCCTCTCCTACGCACCTTTCTAGGAGCCCACCTTTTACCTAGGGAGGGTGACAGATCAGCACTGGAAGGAAAAATGACCCCTGCTATTTAAAAGCACCTTTGATTCCCAATAATAATAATAATAGCATGTACTATTCTTCCAAAATAACAGAGTGGCCCAGTGGCAAATCCTTCAACAGCCCAACGCGAGTATTAGTAATGCCAAAAAATGATGAGCAGGGGGTGGTGTTTCATCGGGCCAGGCCACTTCTTGGGCAAACGTTGCCCATTAAAAGAAAAAGAGCAAACTCCAAACCAAGTGAAGGATGTAAAGGGACCCGTCTTGGTCCAGCTGCTGTGAGGTGGCTGTGGTGGACAGGAGGCAGCAAGGACAGTCACAGCCCTGCAGGCTGTGGCACCAGGCAAGGGGAGAAACTACCACTGTGAATTACCAGTACAAACCAGGTCCTCTGGGCTCTGTGTGATGGCTCCGAACTCCTCATTAGCAGTTCATCTACCTCCTAATTTGCCTAACTGAACACCACCATGGTACTGCCTAAATCTTCCCTGTCACCCCCGCCAGCAACATTTTACATTGGTTACTCGCTATAAATAGTTACACAGCCTCTCCAGTAGGGCTACAGGATGGGAATAAGAGAAGGAAGAGGTCTGATCCTGACTATAGGATGCCAAAAGAACATCCAGCATAACAAAAACCAAGTTGGAATCATTTCCCTGATAGAGAAAATCATCTGGGGCACTGGAAAGCAGATCTGTTTGAGACAGGCACTTGAGAAAAAAATTGTGTGCAAATGTGCCTTTGTGCATACAGGCCAGCCCTTGTGTGCACACACGCTCATTCGCGCTACTAAGCACAGATGCAGATGTGAAGCCCACACAGTATCAGTCTGTTGATGAGCATTAGCTCCCTGTGCTTGAAGATCTTAGCCCTTAAGAAAATGCTAATGAGTTATTCCAGTGAGGTCCTGGATATTGAAAGGATTGTAATAAGGAAGAAAAAGTTGCTTTAAAGATATGTTAGGTACTAAGAGTCTTTATCCCTCCTTGCATTGAAAAAAAGAGACAACAGCAACTAAGACAACTTGAGGACAGGCGTGAGCAATCCAGACTGGCCCAGGGGCTGGGGGGTAGTAGCTGGGCTTTAGTTCTGCACTCATCTCCAAAGAATAAAACAGTAACACACAGTTCTAGAGTGAGTACAAAGCTGCAATTCATCCAAACGGCTCTGTTCGTATCATGAAGAGCTGGCTGTAACTTAACCACTGCACAACTGACCTTGGACCCTGGCAAGGGAAATGATACATGTTGGAGCAAGATATGATAGAGAGACATTGATCTGTAGGACTAATGGAGGGGACAAACTCTGCCCTGGGTAGAGCTCCTGTTTCAAGTCTCAGATCTCAGAGAGAAGATTGGTTTAAAGTGCAGAGACATGGAAGAGAGTATCATATATGCAGCACTTGCTAAGTGCTCTGATAGCACCAATCTGATAGCACCAAACCTGATAGCACCACAAAAGTAAGACAGGAAGCATTAAAATACAGTGAGTAAAATCGTAATCCTTACTGCAGGCAATGGAGGTCTTAGCCTTATGGCTTCAACAAGCTCAAGATTTCACTTTGAATGTCTTGTATCACTGACTACTTTTGACTCAAAAGGCTACATAACCTCAGATGTATACAAGAGCCAAGAGACAGGAAACATCTGTTTTGTTCTTTCCTCCATCCTTCACACAAAGCTTGTTCCAAATCCTGGTTCTGTACCAACCCTATCCAGTTTCATGGTCCTCTTAAAAAAACCCAGTCTCATTATCTGATTGTAATTCTAAAAACTGGAGAGGATTAGGCCAAGTAATCCCTCAGTGAGTTCTACTAGATGAAATGATTTCTGGCTTCTCCCATCTCATGTAAATGGTTCTTGCTTAAAAATAACTATCTGCTGCTGTTAATAAGCTTCCATTTCATTAAGCTCAGAGAAAAATTATGTTTCATAAAAGAAACTATATTATTCTGGAGAAAAGAGAGAGAGAGGATTGTTTTTTAAAATTAGAAAGAAGAGCAGTCCCTACTAGTTGCTGTAAAACAATACGACTTGGAATGTTGGGTATAATTGTACTGAGTTTTCTGCAGGAATTTCAGAGATGTCCATCCTCTGCTATCAGTTTTCACAAGCTTTTACAACAAATCCTCTCTTTAAATTAAGCCTTTCATTTATGTGCGTCCCTCCAAGCCCACTCCACAGTGGGAGAACTGTTGGGAATTGAAAACATCAGATGAAAGCCAAGATTAAAAGATTAAGTAATGTCTCTACCTTTGCTGAATTATTTTGCCAGAGGCCTTCCTCCATGGAGGTACCCATAACCTTAGTCAATGTAATCACTTTGCAACTCTTGTCCTTTTCTTTAATGGTAGCAAGCCATCCAGTGGCTGGTGATTTAATATATTAAAGTAAAAAGCATTAATGAAAAATGTAAGGATGTCAAAATACGATAAAACAATTGGCTCCTTGAGATGACTCTTTCTGTTTGTTTTTTTTTAAGGTGGATGAGTGGATTACTTTGGTATCCAGTCTGTAGTATTAGTTTCAAGTCTTATTAGGTATGCTTTGGAATCCACCACACTGTAGCAACTCATGAAGTTCCAGTACTCAGACCTACTAGTCCGTGATTTACATACAAATAGCTGTAATACCCTAAGAAGTAGCACAGATTCATTAACTCTTCTGCTGCATCTTGTTTGCATAAAAGTCTCTGCAAGTCTGGCAACAGCGCTGATACCACCGCATGTCTTGGCACAGATTCTTCTCCCGGATCACCCTGCAGTACACTGTCCACTGGTCGCCTGTGCACTTGTACGTGAGAGCAGCTTTGGACAAGAAAAGAAAGGAGAAACTAGCAGATTAGCCAGAGAATAGCATTGCAGGTGTGATTAAAATCACTGCCTATCCGGGAAGAGAAGGCCAATCTTGCTGTCATCACTGGAGATCAGATGATGTTCTTTCTACCGAAGTGCTAACTGCAAGGGTGTAGCTGGACCTAACTGGGGAGAACAAGCCTCCTCATGCTGTTCCTATTTTGTCTAGATGAATAAAATGTCTAAAGCATCTGCCTAGATTTAAGCACATGTACACCTCACAGCAGCCAATGGTAAGCTGTGTGCTCCTAAGGCACGCTTTCAGTAGTGGCCATTCTTCTCTTGGTGGAAAACGTTTTTACAGAGGAGCAAAATCAAACCCAGGGTCACATGTGCTTTTATACAAAAGTAATGGTAGCGAAACTGTACACTTGATAAAAATGCACACGTATAGTGAGTGCTTTTTATGGTGTGTGATTTATAAATTGTATGTAGCATTCTTACAAATGCTGTGATAATAGGAAAATCTTTTAAATGAATATTGTGGCTTCTGAGGTTGGGAAAAAATGGTCTAATTAAAGAACACCAAAAGGTGCTGACCCAGCAGCATCTTGAGTCCTTTGTTCCTCATCTCTGCCGGATGAAGCCAGGAAAGACTCTTATCCTGTATTTAGCTGTGAGTCTCAGTGCCAAGCACCAGAAAATGATGGCAGCAAAACTGATAGGAATGTTTGTTTATCACTGAAGCTTTGTTCAGTTGGACAAGAAGCAAAAGTTTGCTAGAATCTGATGAAAGTTGCCCTGTCTCAGAAAAAAAGGAACATGAAGCCAATTTAAAAAACCTGATTGTGAGAAAACAAAAATTGAGTGGAAGTGACTATCCAAAACAGGGAGAGGGTAGAGTGATTTCTGAGTTTGCCAGCAGTGGAGGGGCTTTTTGAGGGGGTTAGATCTGCAGCACTCCCCACTAGCTATTGTTCCAACTAGGCACAGTGCTCAGAAAATGTGATGTAGCTGAAAAAATTACACATCTTGCAAGAACATCTGAGAGAGACCTGAGATGAGAGACTTTATATAATAAGAAGACACTGAGGCACAAACAAAGCTAGGACGCTAGTATTTTAGAGGTCTAAGGTCCCTCACAGGTTGTGAAGTAAGACAGGAAGCATGTTGAGGAAGCGATATGGGCCAGGTGCCTGAGGGACAGAATAAACCCCCTCTGAATGTGTCTTCGCTGAGGGACACTGGACACAGATGTAAAAGTTAGGTGAGGTGAACCCCACATTTAGAATCTTCTGAAAATGTTGCCGGGATGAAAAACATTCTGGAGTGGGGACAAAGTAGCATGGGTTTTGTAGACTACTGGAATTTTTTTCTGCGTAATTTTTTTTTTGGTGAGGATTCCATTGCAGAAAACAGAAAATTTTGTTTAAAGAGAATCCAATGAGAATTTGTTTATAAGCAGGAAGAGCAAAATACTCAATGATATATCTTTCCGCTAATATCAAATATCATTGTTTCTGGCCCTGGTGATTCCAAGCCCAATTTAGAAACAAAAGCATCCCAAATTATTTGCAGATTACTTTCAGCAGGGACTTGAGCCTTCTCAGTCTTCTAAACACATGAGTTTTTTATTGCTTTGTCCTAAAATGTGTATTAGGATGGATTTCTTGTCTCATCAGTGTATCAAGGGCTTACTTCACAAATGAAATGTTTTTCTTTCACTATGCTCTTAGCGCTAAAATATCTGGGAAGTACTCTCATATGTTCTTAAACAAGAGCTTAGAAGCTCCTCAGTATGACTGCATTTGCAAGAATAAAATTTCCCATTCTTTTAAACATCTGTTAAGCTTTTGGGAAACACATTTCAGTTCAGAAGCTTCAAGTCCAGTCCTAGTTGAAGTGTTATTTAATACTGGACAGCCCTATTAGAAAATGGTTCTCTATTACTTAGCTTCTCTGCCTTTTCATATGTATTAGAGGCTTCTTAACCTACAAAACTAGCTCTGCTGAGAGGATGGAGGCTGCTTTTTCTGGTAAGCTTTTAGCAGCACTGTTTACAACCCAGCCTCTTATACTGAAAAGTAATGGGAGGCAACGATGAGGCTGTGTCCGTGTAGCTGATGGCTTAGTTTAGCTTCATCTTACTGGTGATGATGTGTGAAATGTAAAGAAACCAGCTTGGTTCTTGGAGCTGTGGCTGAACACACAGGGCTGAAGTTTGGAAAAACATATATTTATCCCCTTATAAACTGAGCAAATATGATGTGGAAAATCATTAATTCCCACGATTTTGTATTAACAGAAGCATTCTTAACTACAGCCATTTCTTAAATACAGTGTTAAGGTGTTTTGGGAAACAGCTTCTCACCATATTCTCATCTCAGCCAGGTACACAGGGTATGCAGGGAGGGTGAGAAGAAGGACAGTGACAGAAAATCAAAGGGTTCACAGAAAGAGGGTAGATGCTCTTTTGCCTCCCTGGGCAAATTAATTCATCAAATCACATTCCTGTGGCAGCAAATGAAAAGCAAAAAAACCCAAAACAACCCAGTGATGCTCTGCTTGTCAAGGTCATGTACTTTTCTTGGGTCACGGATGAATAAATTATCATACTTACACTCACCGCAGCAAAAGCAGGGTGTGAAGGTGTTTGTGATGGAGAAAGATATGCCTGTCAGCTCCCTCACCTCTGTGATCAATCAATCAATCAATCAATCAATCACCTACCCACAATTTGTGCGCTCCTGTTGGTCTCTCAGGTCTATCCACTGCTGAGCGCTCCAATTTGGGCAAAGCCAGAAGCAGGGACTGATGGATAAAAGAGGACCTATCCACACTGGACCTTTAGTCTAGACTCTGACTGGGGGGCCGTCTCCTAATTTCTGGCCTTGGGCAATCCTCTGAAGCCCCACTTTTATCACACTGGGACCCTGGGCTTTATCTGGTCCTTCACAGTTGGCATCTTACCCCCCCCAAACACCCCTCACTCACCAAGTCTGGGCGAGGTAATTGTGTTGACATTTATCTTCTCATTGCAGACCTCTTGGTGGCACTGCCTGTAGGCTGCTGGCTTGGACAGGACAGGGCACTCATTGCCGTGGCGCCCGGTGACTTTGTGCATACACTGGACCACGCGTGACTGGAGACCCTTCCCACAGGTTGAGGAGCACTGGAGGAGAGAAGGCACTGAGACACAGTCCAAGCAGAGTAGCTTCAAATTCACATACACACATACACCAGAAAAATCACTGCCAGAGCTGAAGTGTGCAGCAGACTGGCAGCTCCCTATGGTGTTGAGGACTCAACAACAGAAGCATCATGTCATCCAGGGACCCTTCATATAGCTCTCGCATTTGTCCATGATGATTTCACAGCTTCAGGGAGTGCTGTCAGCAGAGGAACTGTCCTGGCACAGGGAAGAAAGCTGTTGTCTTTCTGTCTGGACTCAGAGTCCACCTATATCTACTGTCCCTGTGGATGCCCGCAAGGTTCAAGGAGGCAGAGATGCAACTCCCTCCACCAGCCACAAAAAGGCAAAGCTGGAAAACGTATACTGCTTAATTATGGATGAGCAGCTTCCACCTCCCTCTCCATGAATGAGCCAGTGGTACTGGTTGCCTTGGTTTAAAAGCCCTCTCCAAGACTTGGATGGTCTAACAAGGCTTCCTCCACAGACCAGATGACCACTGCCAGGCATTACAGCAGAGGCAAGCAGCTCTTAGTGCATGCCCAGACCTCTAGAGAAGCTCTGTTCCAGTATACAAGAGAACACATCAGGTATTCAAGTATTCACTCTCATCTATCCCTGCTAACCGTCTGGCACTTGTCTGTCCTCCTGGGAGCAATTGTAAATTGTACTCCATGAGTTTTGGCTTCTATTAGCCAGGAGGCCCAGTCTGCTTATACGCTCTCTCTGTTGTCGTACAATTGGAGTCCCTGACTCTCCCTCCCTCTTCCTCTGGCCCAGTCACTTGTGATTTACAATGTCCTACTTGCACGCTGTTCAATTTTAATAAAGCAAACACAGTGAGCACAGTGAGGTGCACCAGCTGGAGTTAATAAAAGAACCTTGTATTTAAAATAAAGAAACAATGGGTTGCAGGACTTTGGTAAGATTCCTATTTCTGCTAAAGCCACACACAAGCAAACGATAGGGGAGAGGAGGAGGAGGTGGGGGAAAGCTCAGGAGATATAATTAGGATGATGTCAAAAAGATCATGTTTTCTGTCCTCTGCTGTTTCTGAACAAAGCCAGCGCAGTGGAGCTCTCTCCCTGAAAAACACTATCGCCTTGGAGTGGTACTTCTTAAAAACAGCATGCCAAACATTGAAGAAGCTCAAAAGATGAGCACAATTGAGGTTGGACTGAAGTCCAAGTACGAAGGATGTGTATGCAGTGTGAATGCTTTAAGATTAGGACCCAGGGCCAAAGAACATATGGATGTATGTAGGCCTCCACCTCTCCCATCTATGGGGGAGAGCACAGCAAAGCTGTGGTCATTTTGTTCTGGAAATAGCACAAGAAACCCCTACTGCTTCTCAAAGACCATCTGATATAAGAAGTATAGCTTTGTTCTGGACTGGAGCGCAGGGAGCTTTTCCTTCCTCTATGAATCATTGAAAGGCCTGATAAAAAATGGCCTCAGATGAACAGGACCATGTAAAATAGAGCTGACGGAGTCCTGCTTCAGACAATGCAATGCAGAAATACATTTGCACAATGTGAACTCTTTATTTCTGAGTAGGAGTTGTAGGATCAGTGAAGCCTGCTGTCAAAAAATAACAGTGACTCTTCTTTAAGTCACTTACATTAACGACTGTTTATTAAACAAGTTTCTTGTATTTGGTGTACTCACCAAATTTGTATTTGCTTTTCTCTTAATTTTCCCCCTATATTCCACCTGCTCTTTATTCCTATTCTTTCACCCCTAGCCTCTCTCTAGGATTGAACTTCTGCACTCAGAACAATCTCTGGCTCAGATTCCTTCTGGTCTTTGTCACTAAGCCATCCTAATGTGCAGTTTACCTCTGCGTTTCCAGCTATGCAGCCACCTCCAGGACCTGATTATTGTGTTCTGAAGGTAGCAGTTGTGCGATATTAAATTTTTACATGTATTTTGGAACTTCTCTTTTTAAAAAAATAAATATTTGAGGTTTTTTCCTTTATATCCTTCTTATTTCAATTTAGGGTCAACACATTGGTTTATGACAGTTTTTTTGCACTTAAGATTTTCTGATGTTGAATTTACATCAAAATTGGTCACTGTCTATTAACACCTCAGCAATGGTTATGGTATTTAGGACTATGCTGAACGAGCCCTTCCCTTGTATGCCCTACCAAAAAGCAATCACCGAAGTCCCTTATTTAAACCCTCTTCATAACTTGAGCTTCTGCAGTGAGCTGTAGGCATTTCGTTAGTCTTGGGTGTCCCTCTGCTCTTCCCCAGCACTGTGTGACCTCAGTGACTTCTACCAGTCTGGAAGGCAGTCAGGCATGGCCATTACATTTGAATTTAAAGTTAACAATTTTTATCCTGAAAAATGCAACCATTAGGCCCTTCCACTTCACTAGTCATAAGCAACCTCTAATCCTCAGGATTTCAGTAGCACTTTTAGTCTTCAGAGTGCTTTACTAATCTTAATCCTCACAAAAGTCTTTGCAAGGGGAGTAAATGGTACATCCATGTTACAAACAGAATAGCTGTTACCACATAGGCATAAAATAACCCATCCAGGCCACAGGGTTCCTTCACATGATTGTAATATAGTGAGTCTGAAACCTCTGTCTCTGGCTTTTAGGCTCTCCCTGTGCTTATGAATGCTCTTAACAGAAAAAAAAAAACCCAACAAAAAAGAAGGAATGAAAGAAAAAAAGCATTTTTCTCATAAGGTGAATAAGGTTTTCAGATACCAATATACAAACACTCACCTACCTTCGTCTGTGTTCCTGTCTCTGTATTTGTTAACCAGCAAGGAGGGCAAGCAATGAAACTTTTTCCACAGACACTGCCAACTCCACTCCTTAGACAAATAACAGCAGAGTTTTTGCCCGAAGCAGTTTTATTCCTTCTCCTGGGAGACTGGGATCATCACCTATGCTATGCAATTAGTTTTTCACAGCCAGGAAGACAGATTTTAACATCTTTCTTGAACTCTTTTGGGCTTGGCAGCTAAAGGAAGGTTGGACATCTGGCTTATTTTAAGACGAAATTTTCAACTCTGTACTTGGATAGTCTCTTTCCTAGGAATTTCAATAGGAAATAGGAATAGATACAAAATACATACAAAGGGGGAATTGTTACTCATGCTGCACTATGAAGAGAGGACATCATTAAAAGAGGCATAAAAATCAAACTCCAACTGAACAGCAAATTCCCCTAAATACCTCCCCTCTTGCTCTGGACAGCTAAATGCACTGCTACAGTCTCTGTTCCCAAATATGTATGGAGCAAGTAAGCATATCCACAGAACAATTTTCAGGGCTAGATCACTCTGTGCCCTCTGATACAGGACCCTCAGCCTTGGACACAATTTATAAGGAGTTTGAGTAAGGAAAGGTGCTGTGGTCATCTTGCAAACACAGGAACTTCCAGGCAGCCAAAGCTGCCAGAGAGCGTATGGCTTGTGGCCGAGTGTGGCCTGAGCTACAGGGCCAAAAGTACCATTACAGCCCAGCACCTGATCCAGCTTCTACAGAGCTGGTACACTTCCACTGTGCAGAACGCTGGGAGGCTCCACTGCTGCACAGTGAAACTGCACTGATCGCGTTTAAAATGCTGTTGATGGACATTGGACTTTTGGGGCAACTTTTGAGTTCTTACAAACTATTACCAAACATAGTCTGAAAATCAGAAAAGCCTTTACAACCATTGATGTAATTCTCAAGAAACGCACGTGTGTTGATGCCATGATGGAGTAAAGTGATCTGTGAAAGCGGAGGAACGGTTTTGGAACCTGGTTCGGAGCTGCGTGGATCTCTGCCTGCCACCTGAGCTGTTACACAAGTCCTGAGAAAAAACCCCCAAGCAACTTGCCTACTCTAGGAAGCTGGGGACTCGCACAAGTGGTTGAATAGAGATACCAGTGTCAAACAAAGAAATGTTTTTTTCCTTCCATCAGGCATTGCCAGTGATATCACTATCAGAAAAATGCATATGCAAAATGCACATAGTTTAACCATAATGGACTAAACTGACAATATGGCCATTGTAAATTGGAAATCCACCCACATGAAACGATCAAAGGATTGTTCTGCACTGTAAAAAAGAGGAGGTTAATGAACAGTTACAAAAAGTGAACCTAATGAGAGCCCTTGTAACTCCCAGGTCAAACACTGCTTGAGAAGGCAAAAGGAATACAAAAATGCCTCCATTCACATTCTTTGGCAGTAACATGCAAGCCAGTGGGGATATTGAGAAGGAAATAAACTCACAAATTGTCAAGGCAGCAGCTGCATTCATCAGCCTAAAGAAGATTTACTCACTAAAAAACTTCAGCCTTAAGACCAAGCTATGATTTTTCAACTGGAATGCTATTTCCACCTTAGGATACTGATATGAAAGGTTGAATTCTACCAAAGGTGCTGACAGATGTCTAATTGCTTCGAAAGCAAATGCCTCGGGAGAATATTAGGTATTAAAATAGAATGAATTTATAGTAAGTGCTGAGATCTGTCAGGGATTTCATCAACTCCTGATTTACAAAAGATAGCCAGAGAGAGTAACAAGAATGGATGAAGCCAGGGCAGGGCTGCTGTTGGGCAGCTGGAGGAATGCGTAAGAGAGACCAGTTCGAAAATCCCAGTGTTGAGCCTTACTGGGGACAGAAAAAGGTACAGATGTACCACCACAGAGGACAGGCTGTGATCTGTTCAGGACTGAACAGGATAATGAAGCATTGCTTATGCTTTAGCTGAGAGCTGCAGGCTAGGCAGGGATGCATTCAGACCATGCACCACCTTTAAAAATGTCACTTTTCTAACCTCCGAGAGATGTTAGTCTCTTTTGTAAGAGGCTTGTTTTTTCCAGCAGAAGGTTGTAGCATCCCTTCAGCCAATCCTGAATGTACTCCAATATTTAGAAGGCTGATCTGTTGCAGGGAAATACAGTTCAAGATGATTGTTGTAACTAAGCTGAAGACAAGATTTTTTTTTTCTTTATTCATCAGTCTG